TTAAGATGATAAAAAATCATATTATACAAAATTGGATTAAAAAAAAAAGAAAAAAAAAAAAGAAGAAGAAGAAAGAAATATGGGAGAAATAAGAAAAAAAAATAATAAAATTCAATGTTTCCCAAAAAAAAAATATGCAAAATAGTAGTATTAGTGTATTTTATATGTGATTAAAACTAAAAATAAATTTTATTTATAAATTCGAAAAAAAAATTATATATTAATTTCCTACGTGGGACAATCAATGTATAATAAATTTATCTTTAAAATATTAAAAATATATATAAATAAAATCGAATTGAAAAGGTGGTTGGTTATAAAATATTATCCATAAAAATTTCAAATATTTTTAAATTTATAAATTTTAAAATTAAAAAGATATATTTTTATAAAAAAAAATATATGTATCCATAATTAAATAGCATTTTTTTAATCCTTAAAATTAGTTGTGGGACAAAGTGAAAAAAAAAAATATGAATTTTAAATTCAATTTCAAATTTAAGATGATAAAAAATATTTTAATATTAAAAAACTGAAAATTAAAAGAAAAAAATAATCATTATTTTTATATTAAATAATACTAATAAAAATATGTTGGTTTTTTTTATTAGAATCCCATATAAATCTTAATATTTAAAAAAATTTATTACTATTATCATTAAAAAAAGGGAAATTGGAATAATTTTATTACGAGTCAGTCCCTTTATAAAAAATCTTAAACTGCAATCCCTACTTTTTGCTAAATGTTTGGAACCAACTCTTGTCACTCTTATTTGTCTTTTTTTCCCTTTTCTCATCCTCATCATTGTCTTTGGTATTTCAATTAATTTCAGCAGTTTATTTCCAACGTATTTCAAATGCATCTCTCTATCATCGGCGAGATATCATTCTGGTGGAGGCCAAAGAGTTTTTTTTTCTATTCTCTTTTTATTTCCTAGCAGTCATCTTCTTCATATCTTTCATGTAGAAATTTTTTTTTTTCCTTTCCTCCCTGCTTCAACCTTTAGGTAAGAACGGTTTCTTGAATGAAGTATGAGAATATTTTGTATGTAATTGATTTCACTTTATCTTTAAGTAGTTTATTTGATTTCGAATTCACACTTCTTTTTCTTTTTTCCTATGCGCTTCATATGTTCGATAAAATGTCTCGCAACTTTAGATGGATTGAATCTGTCTATTTTCACCAATACGAAGTTAAGTTAAGCATGAATTACTTTGCCGCAATTGTGCTACAATCCTATTAGAATTTATTTATTCTTTTAACTTTTTATAGTCAATTCTAATGATTTTGTTTGATTTTCAAATGATCAGACATTTTTATTTTTATTTTTATATAAATCTGAGTATAGATATGGCACAGAAATTTAAGGATTAAGCTAAGTCATTAGATATTTTGAGAATGTTGGAGAACACAGGTGCATGGTCTGCAGTTGTGTATAGTTGCTCCTACCAACATAATTGCTAATTTGGATTTATCTTCAAGCTCGAAGGTTGATTGGGGACTAACAAACCTTGTTGACATCCAAAGAACCTCCAATAGCCAAAGCATTCCCGACTCCTTTCAATCCATGCTCGAATATATTTGTGCATAGGGAATATGAACATAAGTCTAGTCAATATGATGATTATAATTTTAAGTTCTTTAACATCAAGTTTGCAATTATCTTATTATTTTTATTACATGATTAATTTGATGCTAAATTCTTCTAAACTGTTTGAATTTGGAGATGTTACAAAGAATAATATAATTACAAGGAGTTGACGATGTCTGTCACAATAAAACAACTGTATTCATATACACGTCTTTATTTCTATGGCTTGAGCGAGAGATGTATGTATTGATATACACAATAAATATTATTTTAAGGCTATTTAAGTGATTTTTGTACTCTGTACTAATAATTTTTTTATCATAATATGAACATCTAAGTTTAATGTGTATATGTATAGTATTTTGTGGCATAAGGTATTGACACCCAAATTATGTATAGTATTATGTGGCATAAAGTATATGTATAGTATTCTGTGGCACAATATGTTATGGTTTAATACTTTAATTAGTTTATGAATATGATACAATATATTTCGATAGTTTTTTAAGAATACATGAGTACAAGACATACATAATCTTAATGCAATGAATATATCATACGGACAACTATTTTGTTCTATTGCTGGATATGCATTCCTTTTTTGGAACATATGATACTACAACATGAGTTTATTGCATATTAATTAAGGTATTTACTAAAATTAATAGAGTATGCATCATGTATATAAAAGTATATATTATCAATACCCGGGTATATAAGAATGCAATAGGCCTTATCCTCAAAATATGCAAAATTATTTGGTTTCAACGGCATTCCAATTGGTATATTAACATATAATGTTAATGAAACAAATTTGTTACTATAAAAATTAGACAGAGACAAAAAACCAAATAATTCATACTAAATGAAAATACTAAAAGAACTATGACATTGCAACAATATTATAAAAAAAAATTATAATTTAAATATATAACTATTGAATTGATGATGCAACTTATGCATACTTGTGAAAAAATGTGTGCAAAAGGATTCACCTTCAATTCATCTATGGTTGCCTTTCCATTCAGTTCAAAGAATTTTCATGCCATTTTTCCATAAAGCAGTTTGTAATTACTTTTGGCGTGCTTCATATAATATAATATTGTAGGTAAATATACAATAGTAAGTCTCATTTTGTATATGATAATTCAATGACACAAGTATCAAAAAACGTAACAGAGGCACACAAATTATCTTATGGGGGTATTTAGTTGATTTCTCGAAGCACAATGGCGTGGTATGGTATTACTGTCTTATCAAGGTCAGTGAAGTCTCAAAAAATAATAATCGAAATGGTTAGACCTAAATGCAGTTGAGTGTAATTGGTACACTAAGGCAAACGAGAGAATATACTGACATATATAGACACGAACAACATCTATGCGATAATGCTCATTTACATAAAAAAAAAAAAAAAAAAAAATCGCAGTAGATATACAACTAGTAGAATTTCGTACATGAAGCCAAGTTGAGGGTATAACAAAACCGTTTTGGAGTACTCACCTGGTTAGCTGAGTCAGACCCTATGCTTAGATTTCTCTAACCGAAAGTTGTGTACACTACGGTGTGGATTAATATATAATAGGTCTAAAAATTTTTAATTTGTGGCAGCAATCATGTACACTAACAACCAACCTACTTAGTCACTTATGACCTTTTTAGACATTTACAAGTGGAGATTGGACTATAATAGTATATATATCATACAATTTATATAAGTCATTCCTGACTAGTTTAACCATCCATAACAAATATGTGTTATTTACCTTTTTCTGACAATTCGGAGTGTCACAAGAAGACTACCAAGATAAACGCGCATCCCTGTTTACTGTCAACAAGTGAATATTTTGAATCGAAAACGGTCGTTCTCCAACCACAGGTTATTAGAGCATATATACTATTTACGGAAGCATATGATATCATTATTATAGGTAGTTAAAATCTACCCCAGGGTATGTGGATATTTTTTGCAGTATGTAGAATGTGATCTGGGTACAAACATCGAAATACGGAGGTATAAATAATAGTTTCATAGGTATTATTTGTGTATTACCAGGTATCCTCGAATGTAGTTTATTTTAGTCTTTCCCGCACAGAGAGGTCAATTTGCGTACTCGGTGAGAGCACTTCCTCTCATAGGCTTGATGGACTAAATATTATTGTATGTGTTACAATGTGGATTACTATGTAATATGTGTAAAAAACAATCGATTCGTGGGATGAGTAATGTATAAGTAACAACCGACAAACTTAACCACATCATTTCTAACTTGTTTAGTCATCCATAGTAAAACTTGTGTTTTTTTTTACTTACAATTCAGGAAGTCACGAGAACACAATAATGATGAATTTATCTATCGTAACAAAGATCAATTGAATATTTTGAACCAAACACAACCACTTTTAAACCATAGATTATCAGGATATAGATATATTAGGATATAGATACGCGTTAGTGGAAAATATGACTTCATATTGCAAGTACGCAAAAACTACACTAGGGTATGTCTTTAATGCACGTATGTAGCAATATAATCAGGGTACAACACCGAAAGTCAATGTATGATTGGAGTTACTTAAATATTATATGTATAGTTGCAAGTATTCTTTAAGTGATTGATATCAATTAAGACTGGAAAGACTACCTCTATCAGTGAGAGTATGTTTGAATAAATTTATTTTTTGTCTTTATTTTAGGTATGACATTATAATTAAAATTACTAAATAGTAAAAGAATTTGATTGTATTATTTTAGGTATGACATTATATATGTACATTGCAATGTTTTCTTCATTTCGTCGGTAATTGAGAAAAATGACAAGATATATAATTTTTTCTAAGATATGAGAAATGTATAGTAGTTTTATACCTTACCCTACAATAAAATTTGACTATAATTATTATTTTTATTTGAAAATATACAAATTAAAGTACATAGAAAGTATATAGGGGTATATAGTTGAACAATTTAGATATAGTGGGACGTTATATAGATATAGCTAAATGTGTGGTAAGTATATAAAAAAGGATTAAAAATATTTAAATATATTTTAGGATTATATCATATTTATATTATACTATTTAATAAAAAATTAAGAAATACAAATTAAAATTAAATTAATATTAAAAAAGAGGGAGTGCATAAAAACTTTTTAGTAACAGACACTGAATTTAAATTTAACATTACTTAGTAGTGCAGCTCAATTCTCCCTTAAAAAAATTATCCATATTTTTATTAATTTTATATTCCAAACCCCAAAACAAACCCGAACAAGGCCCATTTGTAGGGTTTATATTAGGGTTTTTATAATCAAGAAATATGACCAACCTCCACCTGACACCTATACACACACTCTCTCTCTCTCTAAAGCACATATATATATACATATATATTTCTTGTACAAAAATCCACCCTACGCTACGATACGCCCCTTCTTGTAGTTTCTTCTTCTTCCTCTTCCGCTCTCTCTCTCTCTCTCTCGCCAGCCACTCTTAGCCATGGGAAGCAACCAAGCCGCTGTATCATTTCTCACTAACATCGCCAGAGCCGCTTTTGGCCTTGGCCTCGGCGCCTCTATCCTCAACGCCTCTCTCTACACCGTCGATGGCGGCGAGCGCGCCGTTCTCTTCGACCGTTTCCGCGGCGTAATCGATCAGACCGTCGGTGAAGGCACTCACTTCTTAGTCCCATGGCTTCAGAAACCCTTCGTCTTCGACATCCGTACGCGCCCTCACACTTTCTCCTCTATATCAGGTATGCTTCCTATACACATTGCGTTTGCATCACGGCAACGGATCATCCTCTGTCTGCAACCCTTTCGCCTTTTAACGCCCGAAACTACGATGGAATTAGCATATAAGAGGCTTAATTTTCGAAATTATCAGTAGATTGTGCTAGTCGTTTCGATTTCGTGGAGCTAATGACTATATAGACGCGAACCTTTTATTCTAAAGTGAAGGAATTGAATTTGATATTTCGAGGTGCTTTGTGCTTTGTTGGATACACAGATGTTGTTCCTCTGTTAGAAAAATGTATTTGGAATTATCACATTCGTGTTATGTTTTTCGTGCAATACTGCAATTCGTAACTGCTGCGTCTCATCGAGCTTGTTTTACTGGAGAAGTAAAAATGTCTAACTTCGTTTATTGAATCAGGCACAAAGGATCTGCAGATGGTTAATCTCACCCTCCGTGTGCTCTCACGCCCTGACGTCGGTCGCTTGCCAGACATCTTCAAAACCCTTGGCCTTGAATATGATGAAAAGGTCCTCCCGTCAATTGGAAATGAAGTTCTCAAAGCCGTTGTAGCGCAATTCAATGCGGATCAATTGCTAACTGAACGCCCTCATGTTTCTGCCCTCGTGCGAGAGAGTTTGATAAGGAGGGCTAAGGATTTTAACATTGAGCTGGACGATGTGGCAATCACTCATTTGTCTTATGGTGCTGAGTTCTCGAGGGCTGTGGAGCAGAAGCAGGTGGCCCAGCAGGAAGCTGAGCGGTCTAGATTTGTGGTTATGAAGGCAGATCAGGAGAGGAGGGCTGCCATTGTCAGGGCTGAAGGAGAAAGTGAATCTGCCAAGCTGATTTCTGAGGCTACTGCAGCAGCAGGAATGGGTTTGATTGAGCTGAGGAAGATTGAAGCTGCCAAGGATAACGTAGGGACCATGTCCAAGAACGGGAGTTTGATCTATTTGCCCAACAATAACAACATGCTTCTTGGTCTCAACCCTGGCCGTTGATTATGAGGTAAGGTTAATAACTGTAGATTTTATCAGAGTAGTAGATCGAGAGATTGCCTCCAATAAACTTTCTCTGCTTAACACCTACTTGATATTTTCTGCTGTGATCTGTGATCTATAGTATAGTGTGCCAAATCTTAAAGTAACTGTCTTGAATTACAGTTCAATTTGCATTAGGGTATGCCAGATCTATGGTAGATAAAAGTTTTTTTTATTAATGTTGCTAAAGTTAATCTGAAGTATAGAAATGTGGTCATCGTGGTAATACGGTTTTATTTTTGATTGATTGAATTTGCTGAGTGGATCATTTATCATTTTGTGTATAGAGAAAATCACATTTTGTTGAGAAAGAAGTAAGTAGTGATTCTTGGATATACCAATTTTAGGCAGGGCATATGTTTATACAGTTGCACGATGATTCATGATTGGGAATGAAAATTTGGTAGTTTGTTCGTGGCATTAGAGTGGTTTTGAGATCTTCAAGCCTACTAATTATGTAGTTGTAGCTCTCATTAAATTATGATTACATTATACTCAGACTCTAAATGAGCTTCTATGTCGTAACAAATTGTTTGCACTTTCACCAGTCAACATTGTAGTTGTGGTTTGTTCAATTCTTGTGAATGAGAAATCTGTGCTTTGCAATATTACAGGACAGGGGAGGCGACGGCATTGCAGGCAGGTTTCCTGTGGATGTCTTGGCGTCGACTATTCTTTATCAAGATAGGGAGGGGACTTGCATATATCCTAGACTACCTACCATCTATATACTCTTCTTTGTAGGACACGATGAATGAGGTCTGTACGTCTTACCTGTGACCCCCACCCCACCCCACCCCACCCTTTATATGATGGTTTGGTCTCGAAGGCTCTAAACTTACCTTTACTATAATAATTCCTAAGCTTCCTCTTCCCCCTTCCCCTCTCCTACAATCTTAGCAGTTTTCTCCACTGATTTAGTTTATACAGCTTTAACATGGTGATCTTTCTTTCTTATATGTGATGGTGAATCAATTTGGTAGTGTGATGGTGAATATAGAATCACAGAACATCCCAAGAAATAGTTTTCTGAATATATACTAAATTTGAATACTTTGTGTTACCAAATATAAGCAACTTCTTTTTATTTAAACAAGAAAAAGGAAAAAAGATACACTCGGTTCAGTCAAACAAAAGCTTTCTTCACTTTCCTGTTTCCAAACATAACTTATTATTGCTGAAATCAAATACGGGTTTTTTAAGAGTATGCAAAACCGTGATTTGTCGATTATCACGAGTTCTTCCTTCATGATAAGGTTGGAGGTATCCATATGTAACCATGTGTCTGCACATAGCCAGCATGCTCCAGCAGTTGATCGGCTTCTTCGGGGCCTCTGCTGCCGGGCTTGTAAGGAACCGACTTCAGCTCTCCATCGTCTATACGGTGCAGGAGCGGCGTGAATATCTCCCACGCAGCCTAAACAAGAAAGGGATCAAAAGTCACCGTAAGAACATGTAAGATCCGCAGTACATATTCCATTTGGTTCATCGTAATACCTTCAGCTCGTCTCTGCGCACAAAATGCTGCTGATCCCCTTTGATCCTGTTCACAAATCATATATAATGCATCCTGATTATTACAGTTTAGCTGTTTGTAAAGGCAGGCGTAAAAGAATTTTGCCATCAGTCCGTACGTGTCGAGAATTAGGCGTTCGTAAGCCTCAGGAATGACGACCCCCTGATATCGCTGCCTATAGGACAGGTCCAGTTCGCTCTGCGCAGTTGACATTTCCAACCCCGGCTGCTTGACCTGTATCGAAGAGATGAAAAAATATGTACAAATGGGAGTCATCGTAATCGTAAATAACACTAGAGTTGCACGAACCGTTAGCTTCATGTATATAGCCTCCGAGGGTTGCAGGCGAATGACGAGCTCGTTCCTTCCTTGCTTTTGGCCTACACATCATAAAAAAACCAACTTAAACTAATTTGCTACGACGAATTATCGAAACACAGATTTGATCGTAAAAAATTGTACTTACATTTAAAGATGTCGCCGGGAACATCCTTGAATTGAACTCGTATCTCTGCTTTTCGGGAGTTCAAAGCTTTCCCGGCCTTTAGTATAAAGGGAACACCTGCAGCAGCAAGCAATTGATGATAGTTTTAGAATCCCATCGACCGGATCGGCTATATTTTATTTCTAAATCTTGGCTACCTTCCCATCTTTCGTTGTGTATACGTAAAATAACAGTTGCAAAAGTAGGCGTGTTCGAGTTGTCAGGAACAGTTGGATCATCTCTGTAGCCATCGTACTGTCCGAGCACTACCTCTTCTTCATTAATTGGAACAACTGATTGGAGAACCTGAGTTCCATCGTTTAATTAGTACGAAACATTTGCCAACCGAGAAACATTCGATAGACTCTACTTGCCTTGACTTTCTCGTCTCGAATATGCTCAGGCTTCAGAGATATAGGCTTCTCCATTGCAACAAGGCAAAAGACCTGCAAGTTTTGAGATCATATGAATGATATTGATGATCCAAATGTAGCAAAAATAAGCAGCATGCTCTGCAGATGAGCAAGAAGAAAACATGTTTCGATTAGGAACTGGTGATCGGTAATCGACTCACCTGCAACAGGTGATTCTGGATGATGTCACGAACAATTCTGCAAAATGACCGAAATGAAAGTTATCATTCTGCAAGTCGAAGATCATCATCACAACCGAAATGCTATGCAGCAAACTATACCCGTATTGATCAAAATATCCTCCACGTCCCTCGGTTCCAAAATCCTCTCTAAACACAATCTGTCGCGACAAGGCCAAATAAACATCATCACCGAACATGAATCCAATGCGAACGAACGTCGCCATAATTTTTCTTGAAATAAGGATGACAACCAACCTGTACATTAGCAATGTGGTCGCGGTTCCAAAGTGGCAAAAAGAAGCGATTTGCAAATCGAAGTATCAGCTGCAAATTTTTACAAGAGCTAAATACGTCTATCCAAACCATTCCAAGTATCAACATTCCAAGTTTCGATACCTACCAAGTTCTGCACCAATTCCTTTCCCAAATAGTGATCTATTCGATATATCTGTGGCTCCTCAAATAATTCACCTATCTGCGAGCTTAGTTCCTCAGCTGAAGCCAAATCCTTACCAAAAGGCTTCTCAACAACGATACGAGTCCATCCTCCAAGATCCGCTGAAACATATCACACTAACAAGTCAACAAATCTCTTAACATTTAGAAAGTCGGGATCGCCTATAGGATAAAATGACTTGTGAAATTCGAAATGTACATTTATTGAGACAGTGAAACTTGATCATTTTGCAGACTTGTGGATAAACTGACGGTGGAAGCGCAAGGTAGAAAAGCCGGCGGGACGATCCTTCCATACTGTTTTTTGATATTTCATGCTCGTATATTGCCTTATCTAATGCTTGGAATCCCTCCGGAGCATCATACAAGCCACTTATATATTTAATCTACATTATCAAATAGATAGCCGAAAACTTGTAGACTTGCAAATACAAACAACCTTTTATAACGACAAAAACGAGCAGCAATGACTAACCAACTGCAGAAACTCGGTAACCTCTTCGGCGCCGCCCTCTTTCGACTGCGGAAGATACCTAAAACAATTCAATTCAATAAAAGGTTAGTGAAGCAATAAAAGTACCAATTAATCTTCAGATTGATAGAATCGAATCAAATGGACAAAAGTGAAGAATCTGTACCCTCTGATCTGATCTCTCAACTTCTCATCAGAAATCTTGCTCCTTGCATACCCAAAAATGTGAACCTCGTTTGACTGCAAGAATCCCTGGACAAGATAAACCACAGGAGATCAGATTAGTACCTTAAATTTTTGAATTGTGTCTGAAAACGATATGCAGAAGTTCTTGGCAAGTACTGAAATGAAACCTGTCGGTAGAGGTTGAACAGTGCAGGGAAAGTCTTTTTCTTTGCAAGATCGCCGGAGGCGCCGAGAACAATTATAGAGAGGCAGCCAGTTTCCGGCACGTTCTCATCGTCTTTTACGAAGGACTCGTTCTTCGAGTAGCTTCTCTTTTCACAACGCCACTCCGCAGCCATTATCGAAGATCGAGGGAACTGAAATCAATGCTTGATCTGCAAAGCAAATAGTGAATTCAAGAACTAAACAAAGCCCTAAATCGAAAGCAATTGCCAGAGAGAGATTCCTTCGTGGTCATCCCTCCAACGATCCGATCCAAAATTCAATGAAATAAATCTCTTACTTATTAGTTTGGTAGAAGAAAAAATCAATCAGTAACTCCAAAATTGAAACACACAAACAGCTTGTCTAATCCCAGAAAAAAGCAACAGATCCGAGAAAGGATTATCGATCGAGAACTCAGAAACATGCAATTGCAGTTACGGATGGAGAAGTAGACGATGATGATGAGTCGAAAAGCAGCAACCCACCTTAGGAATAAGAGCAGCTGTAGCTGTGTAGATGTATCTTCTTCTTCTTCTTGTTCTGGCAATAAGCAAATTAAGGAAAGCGAATGAGCAACTTTTGTGTATTGATGCGATATTTTGGCAGATTTCACACGCGAGGAAGAGATCCTCCCTTCCCCGTTGGCCTATGGTTGGTTGGTTTGTATTGCTATTGACTTTGCCCAAGTTTCTAGTATCAGTCAAGCCACGCTGGTCGATGCGCGAAACAGTTTTGACTCGACTTTCGTTATTGACATTTTTTTATAGCAATTTTCCATGAATGTTTGTATTTTTCCGGAAAATATGTCGAATCTTGTATTAGGCGAAACGTGCACCCGGCAGACAAAATTTGACCTATTTGAAATTTGAATATATGATCTTACAATTAGAGTCGGCCAAAATTTAATTTGATCAAATAATTCGACCTGAAACGAGTTTGAGATTTTTTTTGGCAAAATTAATAATCGAGTCAAAACCATTTAATTCAAGTTTAGGTTTAGATAAAACTCGGTTAATCTGTTTAATTAATATTAATTTAAATTTAAATATATTATTTAAATTTTACTAATACTCAAATATTTTAGACAGTTTAAGTTAAAATTCTACAAAATTAAGATTAAAAAAAAAAAGTTACACACTCAAAATTAATTGGACTGGCCAATATAGCCCAAATCCTCGAGGTTCGCAGTCTAACAAAAGGTCCTGGTCAACGAGCGAGTGAGCCTGCGGACCTAATTAGCCCAAGGACCCAGCCGGTATAGTGCATTTGAAGCAGTCAACAATAACGGATGAAAGAAGGTAGAAGTGAAGGTAGTTGGAGTTATCGAGAATATTTAGGGATAATCCAAATATGATTCAAAATAAACAAATAAATAGAGCATATCAGAATAGAAAACGGATGCCAGAAGCCATTCACCATGTGCTCTTCTTTTTTCTTTATTATTTTCTTTACAATTTTTCCATCCTTGCAATTTTTTCAAATTTTTACAGTTTTTTTCAATTAATTTCAATTTAATTTTTAGCTTTTGTTCCTGTTTTACCTTCTTATTTCTTCGTCAATTTTTTCGGTTATCGCGAGATAGCTCAGATCCTTTCTTGAGAAGGCCGAGGAACCCTACGATTAAATCAATTCCGACAGGCTTTTCCGATTAAGCCGTCGGTGGCGATTTTTTTACGACAACAGATTGGCACGTCCAGTGAGACACCGATGTCTCGCGACTTTTACATGCAACTTCGGAAGAAAATTGATGCCCTGCGCAACATGCAGAGATGTTTAAAAACAAACAAATCGTCGGCGATTCGTCATCGTGCCCTTCGCAACATGCTGCCCCACGTGACGAGGCTTCCACGATTGCTGGAAGGCCGGACCAGATCATTAATCTTCTAGCCAACGTCTTTCAGGAGCAAATTTGTGAGAAAATTCGGTCATCCATTCACGGATCCACCCTGGATCTATCTCGGTACATTACCGATGTTTTGAAACACGCCATTCAAAACGAGTTTGCGATGTTTTTGGAGAAAGAAACTCAAAAAAGCAAGACCTGGAAGGCCAATTTCAGCCAGCCAGAGATTTGGCCTCCCGCAGGCCTTACAACCAGCTTCGCAGCAGATCCGACCTCCCAGACACTTAAATATGGACATGTTACTTTGTTAGGTAGGGGTTCCGGATCTGGAGTACCTACGATCACCATCCAGAAGTTCGGAGAATCTCATGCGTTGGCCGGGCAAGTCTCCTTTGGGCCACCTTCAACCGACGGATTTGGGATGACCTTCGGGACAGTCCCATCAACACCACATGGAAAAAATAATTCCCTATTTGCTGGAACTACTTTCAGCACCCTAATCCCTACTCTAGGCCGTCAAAGAAACCCAATGGCCGGACAAGAGACTTCCAATGCATGAGGCCAAGGCGGACAACGATTCCAACACCTTCCTTGGTCCCAAACCCTTCTGGAATGACTTGGGAACCAGGGGGACCAGTCCCAACACCATCCCGATACACTAGGGGCAGAGAGCTGCTGGAGAAGGTTGATTTGCTACTGGTTACGGGGTATAACATCATTACGAATTTTCTGCCCAAACTGACCTCGCAAATCCACTACTCCAGCAGGTTGCAGTCTTCAGAGAGGCTGCGGAAGGCTCCCAAGTTTGTTTCCCACAACGGGGACCTGTTTATCAAGCCTTCTCGCAGCCTACAGTGCGCAATCTGCCGCCCGTTCAGGCATCTCCCGAATAGCCTGGGGGGCAGGCAGAAGTTCTGCCACCGCCTCCAATTATAAATCCTCAAGCGATCGATGAGGCAATTCGGTGAATTTATGGTGATCTCATCCGCTTACCGGTAAAGCCACACTACCAAAGACCTTTTCCAGAGTATATTCCCTTGGATCATCTGTTGCCCCGTAACGCTAGGATGCCCAAATTCATGCTATTTTCAGGGGAAGATTCCCGCTCCACCATCGATCATGTCAGTTGATTTATGGCTCAATGTGGAGTAGAGTACGGAAACAATAATTGGTATAAATTGCAGCTTTTTTCATTATCTTCGACAGGTTTAGCTTTTTCGTGGTACACTTCGCTACCTCCAAATTCCGTCCACACGTGGGCAGACATGGAGAGGGTCTTTCACGAAAGCTTTTACAATCCTCTTTCAGAGGTGACCGTCTCAGATTTGACCAATTTACGTCAACGCAATGACGAATCTGTGGAGCAATTCTTGGAACGCTTCAGGAGGTCGGAAAGTAGGTGCGAAGATCGTATACTAGAGAACCAAGTGGTGAACATAGCAATTGACAACATGACACATCAGTTGCGTGAGAAATTGTCCCTCCAAAAGTACCATCACTTTCGGAAGCTAACGTCCAAAGCTGCGAAAGCCGAACAGCTCATAAAAGAGGCACAAGCAGCCCGAAATCATAATTTTTAGAGCGAGAACCACTCTGCTCATTCCCAATAAGAAGCTTCCGAAGCCAAGGATAAACTGAATGAGACTTTTCTGGCTGAATCCCAGAGGGAAATCATCAAGGAAGGCCACCACCGGCTGGCTGAGAAGGCTAAAATGAAGATTGATACTGAACTATTTCCCGCAGCAATAAACACCATCGGAATACGTCCAACAGGGCCTGGAAGGTCAGAATCAGGATCTGGAAAAAATAATAGAATGACGGAACCTCGAAAACCATTGTTTGAAAGGCTCGGAAGGTCGATCAAACCTCTGAGAAAGAGTTCGGTGTGGAATAAAATTTCCCTCACTAATACGGTTTCTGAAGTGAGTTTCGAAAAGGGTGGCAAGGTTTGGCGAGTAACCTTTGTGGATCAGGTGATGATTACACCACATCAGACCCACCTTCCCGAGAAGACTCCCGACAATGGAAGCTGGACCAAAAACCAAAAAGAGCAAGTGGTGCAACCTCCTACTAAGATCCAAAAGAGGAGAATGCAACGACAACGCTTGGCCGCTCACCTTTCCCATGAGGATCAGGCTGAGGGGCAGCAGTCTTACGACCACGAAGGTCAGACTGAGGGGCAGCAGACCAAGGATCAGGAAGAAGCTGCTGAAAGGTCGAAATTAAATAGGGAGGACTTGCGCCATCAGCTTTGGGCCCGGAAAGAGTGGAGGCTGAAGCCTATTTTAATTAACGATTATTGTCTTGTTAATTCGCAGGGTCAGACTGGGGGGCATCATGTCGAGACTCAAGAAAGAGTTGTCGCTATAATGTCGAAGTTAAAAAAGATGGACTTGCGCCACCAACTTCGGGCCCGGAAAGAGTGGAGGCCAAAGTGTGTTTTAACTAACAATGATTGTATTGTTAATTTTCAGGGCCGCACAGTACTTGGATGAACGAAACCCTAGGGGGATGAGCCGATGATCAAAGCACTCGATTGCGATGAGCTATCGGAACCCACTTTAGACGTAATTGCCACCGATCAAGACCTAGAACGAGCTTTACATTTCGAAGGCGACCTCAAGGTCAAGGTGATTAGATTTTGTCTCAAAACCGAGGCCGACATACGCCCGTAAACTCATTCATTCGTCATGAATGACGACCTGATCTTGCATGATGTGAAGGCAAGAGTAGGCAAATCCGGATTCCCATTCTTACAAGCCGAAAATCATGCCGCTTACCTTCCTGGAAGGCAGGCAGGGCTCCTTCCCAGCCGCCTCTTTTGGATCAAGGCGAAGGTGAAATTTACTATTCGATCCGAGGAGCTGCTCCATCTTTCAAAATGCAAGATCCATTGGAGGAGGTCAACTTAGGGGACGAAATAGCCCCTCGGATGACGCGGATCAGCGCCCTGCTGGATGTTAAGGAAAAGAAGCATGCCTTGCCCCAAGAGCTTGATGCCCTGCCCGAAGAGAGGTTGCAAGCCCTCGAATTCATTCGATATCAAAAGAGGAAAACTAAATCAACCTTTCGGAAACATGTACGGCCTCAGACCTTCCAAGAAGGTGACATGGTATAGAAGGCCGTCCTCCCGGAAGGTTCCAAAGATCCGAAGCTCTGGAAAAAATCCCTTACATAGAAAGGACCATTTATCGTATCGGCTAAGTCATCTAGTGGCGCATATAGGTTGATGGAGCCCGATTAAGAAGAGTTGAAGACATTTATCAATAGAAAACATCTTAAAAGGGTCTATCATTCTCTTTGGGAGCTGGAAGGAGGACAAGATCGGGCTATAGTTAACGATGACCTTCCAAAAGTAGAAAAAAATGGTCAGGCCGAGGAAACATGGAAACATTAAGATATTAGAAAAAATCATCAGGACCACGAGTTGATTCTTGTCCAGATGATTTTGTGGGCGGCATTTCTACATACTCAAAATTAATTGGACCGGTTCAACAAAAGTGCAGCCCAAATCCTCGAGGTTTACAGCCCAACAGAAAATCCAAATCAGCGAATCAGTCTGCGGACCTAACTAGCCCAAGGAGCCAGTCGGGCTGGTGCATTGAAAGCATTCAACGGATGAAAGAATGTGGAAGTGAAGATGGTTGGAGTTATTGAGAATAATTAGGGTTAATATCTTATCCAAACATAATTCAAAATAAACAAATAAATAGAGCATATCAGAACAGAAAAGGGACGCAAGACGCCATTCACCATGTGATATTCTTCTTCTTCATTATTTTCTCTGCAATTTTTCCAGATTTTTACAGTTTTCTTCCATTAATTCCAATTTAATTTTTAACTTTCGTTCCTATTTTGCCTTCTTTCTTCATCAA